TAGCTATTTAGAGGTAATAGATAAGTTAATTAGCTTAAATTTCATGATGATTTCACAGAGTACATGTATATTAAAACATTAAGTTGTACACTTTATATATATATATATATACAAGTTTTATATGTTAGTGACACCTCAATAAAGCTGTTACAAAAAATAAAGCTGCAGGTCACATTATAGATAACAGGAAGGTTTTAAAAATAGTTATATAGTGACTTCAATGGGTAGAGAGGCCTTGAACTCTAAAAAATTAACCAAATGCATTCAAACTTAGTACAGACTTAAAAGGGAGGAATAGTGCAATATTTTATTGGTTCATACTTGCAGAAGAAAATTGGAGACAGACCTTGTCAAATATTCTGTATTCCGTGTCATAAAAAGATACAGATGTAAGAGTCATGTCTTTTAGATGAATTAGCAGCCAATGTAAGGTGCTTCTTTTGTTCTTTTGTTCTGTTACAAATTAGATTTTTTTTCTTCCCTAGAGAAGCCAGACTAAACAATGGAATACTCTAAAAGAGAGAATTACTGAACACCAAGGCCATGTTTTTGAAAACTAGGTATTCTGGCATTCTGAATCAATTATCAGTGAAATCCTGTTATGCGATTCAGAATAGATGCCTCAAAGTCAAGGGTTGTTTTCCAAGCATTCGCTGCTTTTCATAAGCTTGGCCTTGCACATCTATAAAATACTTAATTTTTTTTAAAATCTAATACTCTGACAGAGACAAAGATCTTCATTTCATAAAAGTTGAAAGAAAATGAGAACTAATTTTACTCTTTAAGGAGTGATGAGACACTTGGCAAAGTTTGTCAGTAACTGGTTCAAGGCCAGTAGCCGTTCACCAGTATTCCACAGTGAAAATGTTTTGACCACTCACATAATTCTAATCTCATTTCAAGCGAAAAGGTGGGAGTTTGTGTGAATGTAAAACATTACTACTGTATTTAGAGAAGATGGGGAGGACAACGAGGGAAGTCTTGACTATAGTATACTATATATAATGTTATGTTATATTTAATATATAATTGAGAATATAAACTACAATGTAATTTTAAATAATCCTGAGCAGTTATGGAAAACCAGTCAGAACTATTATTAATATTAAATATACCTATTCAAATAAAGGGAGAAGTTTTATGTGGTCAATAACTATTTTAAGGTGTGTGTGTGTGTGTGTGTGTTTAAAGACAATTTACCATGGAATTCTTATATTAAACCTTTTTGGCTACTAATTTGTATTCTTATTTCTGTAATTAAATGGGTTCTTTGGACTTTGATTTCTTGCTATGAACATTCAAATAAAGCTTGTGATTTATGGAATAATAATTGTATTTTGAAGTTTTTGTAATAAAGACAAATGAAAACTTACTTTTTTCTGTGGAACTTTGTTGAAATCTATTGAGCTATAATAAGTCAGAGTTCTGCAGTTATTTTTTGAGTACAGATTTTTTATGTGAATGAACCATTCAATTTCATAATCCAGAGTGATATTTATTGAACATAAGTAATTTTCCAAGGAATTTAGCCTTGTTTGATTTTTTTCCATCATGAAAAAAAGAAAAGCATGTGTTATACCTACAAATTCTTAAGAGCTGTAGTAACAGGAAAATAGAAGAAATTAAAAATATTTTCTGAGAATAAAGAAAGACATCAGCTTAGCCACATAGACTCTTTATGATATGAAACAAAAATCTAGTAACAACTTTTTAACTTTTCTAATATTTTTCTGGCTTTTTACCCAGTTGTAACCAGAATAATTACGTTTATAAAATCTTCCAAAATAATCTCTCCTTACACAATGAGAGAGAAAAAGAAAGGGAGAAAAGGAAAGGGAGATTGTATATTTATCAATATAATGACAGGGACAGGGATAGAATTCCAATCCAAGAAATAGCATAAACTTAATTTAGAGTGACCAGTATTATGCATTAGTCTTACTGTTGATTCATCTGCAGATTACTCAGTTATTTCAGCATTATTTATCCGAAGACTATTAGTAGCACAGAAACGGAGAAAGCAAAGGCAACTTAGTAATTATGGATAAGCTATTGTATTTTAAGGTTAAGAAAAGTCTATTCAGGATACCACAATAATATATGATTATTAGTCAAATATAATTCATGTTATGGATCAGAAAAATATAGCCAAATAACCAAGGGCATAAAATATTATTCAGACCTGCTTATTTGTTTGCTTTGAGCCTTACATATTTTCTTTTATAACTTCAGCTGCCTTTAATGTAATTTGAGGAAAACAAAAGACATTCTTAGTGCAGCAATTTATCCTACTTTGTAGTTGGTAGTGTTTTCTACTTAACAGTTTTAAGGAATTTTGATGGTGTAAATGAATGAATGATTCTTGCTCTATAATTCTCTGCTTAAGGAGTGGAAACCCATACTCTCACCACAGTATAAATCTCTTGTATACTTGTTGGATGAAGAACTATGTGTTTGTTTATAGATACAAACTGTTCTCTAAAAAGGTGGTAGTATAATAATTTTGCATTCCTACAGCAGATCTTTTGAATTTGTATTTCTGGGTCTGTATTTCTGGGTTCATATAGAGACTGTAACTAGTGGAATAATGATTGCGTTCAAAAGTCCTTATAAATATTCACCGACATATGGAAATGGTTGTAATACATACACTGAGTATTATCAGTTCTGTGAACATTGCTGATGTGATTGATATATAAAAACATTTCTTTCATTCTGAGTTAAATTTAAAATCAGTTCAAGGGCCTAGTCTGGGAATTCTTTATGTACTTTGCTCACTCATAGATGAAATATTTTGAAATCTGCCCTATTAATGACTTATCTAAAAAAGAGAATTTTCAAGTGCATAAAGTAGAAATTTCGAAACATATGCCATGATGATAGGCATACATAGCAAAGAGCTCGACCTTTCACCTCAGTACATGAAAGAAGTTAATTCCCAATCTGTGTATCCGTGTCTAATACTTAGTAGCTGCTGTAGGGCTGTCAAATAAAACCATAAAAAATTAGCAGACTTGAAAACAAATAAATCTTTATTAAAATAATGAGACGTTAGCTGTTGCTTAATGTGATTTAAAGAGTCAAGGAAATTAAAAAGATAGAATAGATTGGGGGGTAATGAAGTCTGCCTGAATCATAAATAAACATCATTATTTGTTCGGTAGAATGTTACTACAAAAGTCATAAATGTTTAAAGAGAAATACAATATCCCTTTTTTTTTCTGTGATGTTTTGTATGTTAATATAAATATTCATGAATAGTGGGTATCAGTTCAGGTTATCTGTGTGAATATAAATTTTCATATAACTAGCCCCTTAGTGTTCACTGTCTCATGCTTTTGAATATGAATTCTCTAGTCTCTTGGATACACTATGGATCTGTCCCAGCTCATGAATATTCACACACACACAACTGATCTTTCTGAAAGTAATCACATCCATAAAGATGGAAATCTTGCTAGCTTTCAATAATGAGAACTACATCGGATGCTGGTTCCAGAACAGTTTCACTATCACCTTGATTTTTTTGTTTTCCTTTTTGGCAAATGATTCGAACTTTAAAATATAAACACCGATGCTGTGCATCCTTCATTACAGAGCCCTTTCTTCTTTCACCTTTACAAAATCTTATGCATGATTTAACTATGCTTGTGTGTGTTTGCTGTATTTGTTGACATCATATAAAAGAATAGAAGAAAATTAAACAGTGTCTCCAGTCTTGACCCTAACCACATTTCTGCTGTCTAGGCTTCAGCAGAGATTCTCAAATGCAAGGCCGTAGCTGCTAATTTTCATGATGCATATTTTACATATAAAGGCCAAAAAAAGACCTAAGATTATCTATGTCATTCATCATCTTGTATAAAGGAAAAATTATATTTTAAGCCAGTTAAATTTTTAATCTGCTGAACTTAAGAACTTATGATAATGAAGGCCCATAATTTTAAATTATATATATAACATTATATAATGTTATATATAATGTATATATGTGTTATATATACATATTATACATTATATATGTTATATATATTATACATTATAATATACAATATGTTATACATATTATACATTATATATGTTATATATACATATTATACATATATATACATGTATAATAATATACATTATATATTATGTATCTATTTGAACCCATTTTATGTCCCACATGATAATTTCTTTTCTTCATTATAATGCATAGCATGTGCTTGTGATAACTGCCCAAGATGAATTGGGAGTTATATTTAGGTATCAAAATCAATCACCTGGCCCTAAGTAGCATCATGCTCCTATTGTTAATTGAACTAATCAGAAAAAAAAAAAAAAAAACATTGTTTATAAAGGTAGTGAAAAAGTATCAAGTAATTGCTATTTCTAACACTGAGATTGTCAAACCTTTACATGAATGTTACTCTTATCAAAATATGTACATTTTTTAATAAACACCATTAATAAGCTACTCTCTAGGACAAACATCTTTTTCTTTTTTTCTTGGGTATAGGCTTGTGTATGTTAGTATACCACATAGAACTGTCAATTGTTGAAGGTTATGGTCTTTAGACTGTACCCTAAAATATCTTATTAGTTTCCTCAGACACTTCTCCTGTTTTTTGTGTCACAATGCCTCTCAGCCAGAGTGATTTTTTTCCCCAGTGTCCATGTGACAAATTTTAGACACATTTTTGCCTGTCCTAATGGGGGAGGGGCAAAATCTAGTGAGTCAAGGGGGGGGCAGTGATAAACACCCTACAGTGCACAGGACAGCCCCTGCACCCCCAAAATAAACAATTGTCCATGCAAAATGTCAACAATGCCACTGTCAAATAAAAGTTTGTTTGAAGAAATAATTCCAAGTCCAAAATGTTTTGATAACAACTGGATTAGAGTTCTTTTACACATGGAACTGTGAAAAGGTGTAATATTGGTTTACAAATAGACATTCAGATTTTAAATATACGTTTGGATTAATTGATTTTTTTTTCTTTTTCTGCATATGTTAGCAACAATTGTGTTAAATGAACTAAACTGGACAAGTGCCTTAGATGAAGTTTTCAAAAAGAATCGAGAGGAAGACCCTTCATTGCTGTGGCAGGTGTTTGGCAGTGCCACCGGCCTGGCCCGATACTATCCAGGTGAGTGCTTAGTACTTCAGTAATTTCCTAATGAAATGTCAGTTTCAGCCTCAGTGTTTCTTAGAACACTCTACCACCTTCCCCAATATTATAACAAGTATGTACTATCACACTATTATTATAAGGAAAGAATATTTATTTTACATGGCTCCATATTGACCAATATCAGTCTAAACTGAAACACTAGAAGAGCAAGTAGAACATTTGATGTCTGGAATCAGTCTCAGCTGAAGGGAGCCCAGGTACATACCTGGAACAGGAGGCTCCTGTGATTCCTAAGACAAATCTGAGATAAGGGTGCAACTGCTCAGCGTAGATTGTGAGGTGAGTCAGATTAGAGAACTGAGCAGAATTTCCAGAAAGCAATTAAAGTATTTCTCTCAGATTTTAAATCTATGCTTCAGATTTGTAACAAATGTGTTAATGCTTCTTGTTCATCGGTGAATGTAGATTTGTTAAAATGAGTGTGACAAGAAACAAAATGAAATCACAAGGAAAATAGAGCTTTCGCATGGGTCCGGTTGGATTGCCTCTGAGTGCCTCTCCGTGATCATCCATATTCAATGAAGATGAATCTATTTTATAAGTCAAAATTGAAACATTCCTTTGTAATGTCTTTATTCTTCTAAAAGAGGAGAAATAAATAGTAACTTCTGTAGTAAAAATGAAAAATTAATTCCTAGTCCATCTTGGGAACCCATGGAAAACACTTTAAATGAAGTGTCTGTCAGTATTTTTAACTTCTCCGCCTTTTTGAATGAGCTGACAGACACAATATGCTTTTTCTTTTTCAAAGACTTGACCTGTTTTATGGGACACACGCTGGGTGATTTGTCTTTTTGTGGCCACACAAGGAACTTAAACAGGAGAATGCTTCTTGAAACTTGGGTTTGCTAAACCTGCTTAACAAGTTGAATTATTCACAATGAAAAATTGCAGCAGTGGAGGGGGATTAGAAAGAAAATAGAATATAAGTAGTTGGGGATTTTAATTGCAATGAATAACAGTATCTGGACATCATCAGACTGAATACCTACTCAAATGAGGTGAAGACCACATAACTTCTGCACGGTTGCAAATGACACTTAATAAAACCAGTCTTACGATTATTATTTGTAGAAATATAATGCACTAAAAAGCCCAAGAGTTTGTATTAAATGTTGAAAAAGTCATAAATTATAATAAAATCTAAGTATTAATATCTGATGTGGGAAGGATATTATCATATAGTTTGTTATCAAAATAGAATTTTCCCCTTATACAAATATTTTTCACTTTAATATAACCATTCTAATAATAGGCTTTGGTTACTTTATTAACACATTAAATATGGTATATTATAAGATGGACAGTTTTAGTATACAAGACAATATAAAGAAAAAAAACTATACTATTCATGTATGTAATAAACCTATAAAATTTACGATTATATCATGTCTTGCAAAACATTGTAAATGAAAAATAAATATAGAAATTAGACACTTGATATCCTATCCAATCATAATACAATACAATAATGGATTTGTAAGTAACTTACAGCATTATGTAACTTTTAAGTTCTTTAAAATATATTACCTCATTACAAAATTCCATAAGTGAGCGGAAGGAAAGGAAAAAAAGGAAAAGAGAAAAATAGTCTTTTAAAATACAGAGGGTGCTACAAAAATGAATACACATTTTAAGAAAGGAAAAAACTGTATTAAATTGTAATAGTCAGTATATCCTGCTATCGGAGATGAACACAAGTCACGTTTGAGTACTTCTTATAATGGCAGAAGTCAAATGTATTTGAGCATCACAATTTTAATAATATATTTTTCTTTCTGAATATGAGTATACATTTTCTTGGCAGAAGGTTCTGTATATTACCTCCTTATAAAATTCCATCAATAAGCTTGAGAGAAAGGAGGGAAAGGAGATTTAAAAAATAGAACAATAATGAGAAACCAAAAGGCCAATACCAGGGGGAAGTTGATGATGCAGAGAGAGGGAGCTGGCGGATGGTTGCATAAAAGAAAATGGAAGAGGAGAGCAGTGGACGAGTGCATTACAGACAGACAGAGAACACCCAGTACACAGGTGGAAGGAGAGAAAGGATGTGTTACAAACACTTTGTAAAGTTATTCATCATCTTCTGGAATTCTTTAGTTTTAAATGCTTGCTAAGTGATGATGGCTTTTAATTTTTAACCCTAATCACTCATTTTCCAATATGTTGATACTGGAAAGATCTTCAGATGATTAATTTAGCTGAATTACTCCTTCAAGATTAGCTGTGGAAGTGACTCTGTGCACACCTTCCATATCTAGTTTTTAAGTAAGGGCTTGATAGACAAGTTGACTCACCAAATAAATATCAGGTTCAATTCATTTATCTGTTATAGGATGTTCTTTCAAACAGCTCACTTGACTGCTATGATACAATTTTTTATACTTGCTGCAGTTTTAATTCTAGTGAGTCTTTTACGGAGTTGCTCTTTAAAAGCAGTGGTAATGCTACGGGTATAGAACCAAGTCTTTCTAGCAAAGGCATGAAGACAATGTTGTAATTTGAAAGGCGGTCCGGTGTTTCTGTTTATGCTGAGACATTTTTTCAACGTGTTTATCGCTCTTACCAAGTTTAAACCCTTTATTTAATGAAGTAGTTTTTTATTGTTTTTCTTTTTTTTTGGTAGACCATACTTCACCCTGATTTTACCATTTTGATGCAAGCCAAAATAATGTAGAGTAGATCATACTGTCAAAGCAAAGGTCAGAAATAGTTTTCATATAATATTAGTTATTCTAACAATAATTAGAAACAGAATATATATTCCTATTACATATTTGGATTTTCATGTATAAGACCTGGTCCTCATGCTGGGATTTCCCTACAAGCTGTGAGATCCTTGATAGGTCTCCAAAAATTTCTAAGCCCTAACCATCAAATCTGAGAAATAGGAGCACTAATAACTCCTTAGTTTATCCCTTATGGGCTAGCTTGATTGATGAGATAATATGATGAAAAGTACTTTGAACCTAGGAAACAGTAGGCATTTTTGTAAAGGTGCATGTCAGCTAGAATTATTTCGCCTAAATCCAGCTTTCTTTTCATCTGAGACATTAAAGACGTGATGGAGGTTATAGTCAGTTGACACGGAAACTGAAACAGAAATGTGGAAGATGGAAACCAGACTAGGCCATAATCTTAGGCAGTTCCACCCCACGGTGGAGTGGTTTAGAAGTCGTGGGTTTTAGCCGATGGCTTGCTGGATATAATAAAGGACGCTCAGTGAAACTGATATTTCAGATAAACGCTGAAGAACCTTTTAGAATAAGTATGCCTTGTGATATTTCGGAGATACTTTTACCAAAAAGGTATTTGTTTTTTGTTGCGATTTAGGCTCAATTGATTGTCCTGTATTTCTTTTTGCTAAATCTGCCCACCTTCTCAGTTTCTATATTTGTGATATGGAAAAAGCAACGTCTCCATAATTTCATAGGATTGATGTAAGGATCAGACAAAATCTATTTTATACATTAGTCCCTACTGAATTTTATGATTATTTTTAATTCTATAAACAGTCTTCTAAATTTTATTTTTCTAAATAAACCATTTTATTAAAAAGTTTCACTGAAATTGAACCCTCTGGTTCACAGTAGAATCTAAAAAATATTCCTTGTCCTTGTTAAGATGCTACTTAGAGCAGCACCAGGTACTGTGGGGTAGGGAGGAAGCAATTATATTCTTTAAATTTTTTTTAAACTGGTAACATTGTATAGATTTATCATGTATACAACATGGTGTTTTGATATTTATATACATTATGGAATGGTTAAATATAACTAACAAATACAGCACCTCATTACTTATCATTACTGTGGTGAGAGCACTTAACATTTATTTCCTTTGCCTTTTTTAATACGATATATCATCATTAACTATAATCATCATGTTGTACAATAGATATCTTGAATTTGTTCCTCTTAATTGTAATGACATATTTTTTTGACCCACATTTCTCATTCTTCCTTCCCCTATAACCACTCCAGCCTCTAGTCACCACCATTCTACTCTCTACTTCTATGAGATCAACTTTTTTAAGTTCTTTTAAGCAATTATATTCTTGAACCAGATCAGCAGAATATAAATCTACTCTCTATGGTGGTGACTGGTAGAAAATCCTCATTGACCTCAGCTGTGAAATAAAAAACATAACAATATTTGCATTTTAGAATTGTTAAGAGAATAGCACGAAGTTTTTCATTGTATTGCCCAGATGTAGGGGAAATTAAAGCACGTTCCTGACTTTCAGTTGTCAGATTATATAAAATACCAGAAACGTTGGCTTCCCATAGGCCTCTAGTGTGGGCACAATGTAAGGTACCTCTCCAGGCTGAACTGAAAAGTAGTTTCTTTGATAATTAAAGGAGATTTGAAGTTAACTATCTGGCTTTTGGCTGAAGACCAGCTTGCTTTCTAATTTCATTGATGTGTGTAGAAATAAACTCTGAGCACCATTGCCTCCTGTCCTTTCTCTTCTCCCCTTCCTCTTTCTTTTCTTTTTTTTTTTTTTTTCCTCCTTCTCCTCCTCCGCCAGCCTCTCCCTTCTTCCTCCTTCTCTCCAGTGTGGCAGGTAGGGGTGTTATAATGAAAGGAACATTCCACTGTGAGTTCTTGGTGCTTATAAAAACTGCCATCATCATCTCTTTGGACTTTGGCTCAATCACGTTATAGTAACATCTCTGCACCTATTTTTCACCGTAACTTGGGATGATTGAATGAGATGATTCCCAGAGCAGGCACTAACTTTATCTGCTTACAGCCCGCTGAGTAGACAGTCTTTGTTTTGCGGGATAACTAGGGTGATTTGCTGGAGTCATACAGCTATCTTTTGGCATAGATAATGCTGAAACACAAGCTTCAGACAAATTCATGGAATATGTGCTTGTTACAAAGTCAGTTTAATTTATGAGTTCTTTCCTTTAGAAGCTCTCAACTTATTTTTCTAAGTTAACCTT